TTCAGAGACTTGTAACAGACTCTGAGACACACATTCTCCTCCTCACTGCCCACTCCTCTCCAGATATCTGAAGATGGAGAAGCTGTTCAGATCTTTGGCAAATCTTCAATCAATTACTCAGAAGTCTGGTTTCAAGTGTCTATTGTGGGCATCTATCCGTAGAGAAATACAATGGATAATTGGAATTAATAACTCTAATAATAAAAAGTTTCCAAATCTAATTTTTCACTTGTTTCCTTTTTTAGAGAGCACAAAATAAATGTGCTAAGATTTCATTGAAACATAATCTTATTTTCCACAGCCAAGTAATATACGAGAGGACTCATAAAACATTATACCAGCTCTGCCATTTATTTCTATCACAAAATAGGTCGCTTTTTATGAGACTCTATGTTTATAGAAGGTAAAGAGAAACTGAGTAAGAAAAGAGGAGAACTGTTCTAAAAAAAATTCTACCATTTACTGAGCTAACCCTGACAAGAACCTCACGGGCTACGGGGTCATTATTCCCATTTTAAAGTCAAGAACGTGGCAGGATGAGTTTTAGAAAGTGTACGACTGGCCGAGAGTCACACAACTAGAGCGTGGGTGAGCTTTCTTCCTTCTCTCCCATCTTCCTCCTCTCTCCTCTGTTCCTTTTTATTTTTGACAGCTTTATTGTGGTATAAATGACATACCATAACAGTCACCCAATGTAACTGCACAATGCAATGATTTTTAGTAAATTTATGAGATGATGAAACCATCACCAGAATCCAGTTTTAGATCATTCTCATCACCCCCACAAGATCTCTCATGTCCATATGCAGTCAGTCCTCAGTGCTACCCCCAGCCCAGGCAACTCCTGATCTGCACTCTGGCTCTAAAAATTTTCCCTTGCTGGACATTTTATATAAATGGAACCACACAATATATATAGTCTTCTGATCTGGCTCCTTTCACTCAGCATAGTGTTTGTAAGGTTTACCCATGTTGTAGCCTGTGTCAACACTTTACTCTTTCTTACCACTTAATTGTATTCCACTGTGCAGATTTACACATCCTGTTCATCAGTTCACCCACCCATGGACATTGAGGTAGTTTCCAGTTTTTGGCTACTAGATATAATGCACATACAAAGACATCTGTTTTCATTTCTCTTGAATATATACCTAGGAGTAGAATTAGTGGGTCATGTGGTAACTTTAACCTCTTGGGGAATTTTGAGAAAGTGTTTTCCAAAGTGGCTGCACCATTTTACAATCCCACCTGCAATGCATGAGGGTTCCAGTTTCTCCATATCCTTACCAACATTGTCAGTCCTTTTGGCTGGAGCCATTTTAGTGGGTGTCAAGTGGTAGTTCATTATGGCTTTGATTTGCATTTCCCTAGCAACTAATGATGAGTATCTTTTCATGTGCTTATTGGCCATTCATGTATCTTCTTTGGGAAAACATTCACTTTTTTACCCATTTTTAGTTGGGTTCTTTGTCTTATTATTGCATTGTAAGAGATCTTAATATGTTCTAGAGACAAGTACGAGATATTTTTATCAGATGTAAGTTTGCAAATATTTTATCCCAGTCTGTGGCTTATCTTTTCATTTTCTTAATGATGTCTTTTGAAGCACATAAGTGTTTAATTTGATGACATTCACTTTATCATCTTTTTCTTTTATAGATCGTACTTTTGGTATCATATCTAAAAATTATTTTCCTGACACAAGGTCATGAAAATTTTCTCTATGTTCCCTCCAAAAATTTTATCATTTTAGCTCTTATATTTAGGTCCATGATCCATTTGGAATCACATTTCGTGTATGGTGTGAGGTAAGGATTCAAATTCATCTTTCTAATATGGACAATCAGTTTCTTTACTTGCTGTGTGTTTTTTCAGATTTTTAGTTTCTTCTTGAGCCTTTTTTTTTTTTTTGGTAATTGTGGCTTTCTAAGAATTTGTCCCTTCATCTAAGTTGTCTAATTTGTAGCATAAAGTTAAAATCCTTTTAATTTCTTCAGGGTTGATGGTGATGGCCCTGCTTTCATTAATGATCTTGGTAATTTGTATCTTCTCTCTTTTTCTCTTCCTTTTTTGGGAGTGGGGTGGTCAGGGGAGTATAGTTAAAGGTTTGTCAATGTTGTTGATCTTCTCAAAAAACTAACTTTTGAGCTCACTGATTTTCTTTGTTGTTTTCTGTGTTCTATTCCATTGATTTCCCACTCTCATCTTTAATACTTCCTTACTACTATTTGCCTTGAGTTTAATTTGCTCTTCTTTTTCTAGTTTCTTAAGGTGAAAGTTTCAGTTTCTGGTTTTTTCATGCTCCACTCCAAATCAAGTCAGCCCCTCAGATAGGGAAGCTGCTGGTTTTCAGGGCTTATCCTGTCCACGTAGAACTTCCTGACCTTTGGACTGCAGGTAGGAGGTTAGAGTAGCCCCAGGAGAGAATGCCCCAGACTCCAGCTGTTCTTACCCAGAGTTCACCAGTTTTTCATGAATAACCACTCCTCAATCCAGTCAAATTCCAGAGCCAAGAAATGATTGTTTCTGACTATTTTGTCTAGTTTTATCGTTGCCTTTTGGGAGAAGGGTGTGCTGGGCTACTCATTCCTGTCATCTGAAAGCCCTGTCTCTAAAGCCCCCTTTCTCTCTTCACAGGAAACAAAATTTGGCTTCATCCTGAGACAGGCTAGGACCTGGGACCCCTGCTGCAATGCTTGCCGTGGGACAAACATGCCCTGGAGCAACAGAATACAAAGGAACTATAAGGGACTAAAATCACTGTATGCGAGCACAGTCGGGACCAGCCATAAACAACAAGATAGAAAAAGACCAAAAACCCAACTGCCATTTCTGAAGTGTCAGGAGCAAAAGCAGGGCTCCTGCACACAGCACCACCAAGGGAGCGAGCAGACTACCTGAGCCACCCCTCGGCCTGACTCCTGGACCCACCCCTATCCTCACCCCTACCCAGGGAGTGAGCAAGGGAACCTGTTACTTGTTTTCTCTCCCTCCCGCTGCAGCACGAGTCCCAATAAAGCCTTGCCCAAATTTCACGTCTGGCCTCTTATTCATTTTCACTGCTTAAGGAGACCAGGAGCCCTGGCCAGTAACAATCCTTTGCCACATCTAGTTCTCTCACAGAATCTGTGTCCCTGGGTTGGGGGAGGGGCATGGAGGTAGAGCTGTTTTTTAAAAAATGCTTATGTTGAAAAATACTGCTCTGAGGTTATCAGCTAAAGCAAACAAAAACCCAAAACAAAACAAAAAAAATTGCACTTTAGTGAACCATTCAACTTTCTCAATATTAATAATGGAAACACTATGCCTCTTAGAATCTGCATTTATAATAGGGAATCCCAGTGGCACTCTTTATTATCCACTTTGTAAGAAAGGCAAAAGCAAACAAACAAACAAAAACCTATCCTGATCTTGCTGATTCTGCAGATGCTTCTTGCACTAACGGGGAGGTGGGGCTAGAATATAGGATCCCAGCGGGAAAGTGCTTAATGGCCAGCGTGGGGAGCTGGGCTCTCTGCACACTGCTTTAGTAGAGGCGTTTCCAGCTGTGTGCTCATGTGATGTGGGCAGAGACTCTGCAGTTCCTACAGGTCCAGATCTGTCCCTGGAAGGAAACTGGGCCTGATTGCTCTCTCTCCCTGACAACATGGCAACCCATAAAGTACATAGGCTGAGACCCAGGAGACCCCTTTTCTTCCATTTAACCTCTTTGCGGCTTTGTTTTCTTACTTGTAAAGTGGGTGTAATAATAAAGTCTTCCTGACAACCTTGCTGGGATGTGTTCAAATTCAGTGATAGTCATAGATCACCTTGACAGATTATTAATGAGCTATAAATGCAAGGCTTTAAATTATGAAATAATGTCCAATTTTCAAATCTTAATATGTGATGGCTAAGAAAGAAATTGTCTCCCCACTGCTGATTCTTCCTTCCCTTTCTGCCTGACCTCAGGACACAAGAAGGCTGCGGCCCAGCAGACAATCCACATACCCTCCCATTATCGTCTCCTTTATGGCTTCCCTCCCAGGTAACAGGGTTGGAGAATGGAGGAAGATGCTCAGAGAAGGACCCAGCTGGACTTCAGTGCTTGGGGAGGTAGACAGAGCAGAGGCTGCCATCAAGACCTGCACTTACAGCTCTTTATACTGTGGAAAGTGAGGGTCTTTCAGCTGAGCGGGCTGGGAAGAGAAGCCCATGGGAGTAGGAGGAACACAGGGAGAGAACTACCTCTGTCCAGAGATTCTTCATGCCTAAACTTTATGTTCACACTGAGTCATCATAGCCCCCTGCCATGCTTCTCAAATTATCACTGTTTCACAGCAAAGCTACCCACTCACAAAGGCAAACTTTCAAGAGCAAGAGAAAGCTCTCTTTTTAATGAAAAAAAGCACTTTAAGGGTTTGTTGTGTGAGGGATTAGGATTTAATATTTTTAAAATGGATTGCTGTAAACTTTTTATCCAAGGATTTCTAATAGCTATGGAAAAATAAAACCATTCATCTCAATATATGTAAGAAACCTACATATTTTGGTTATTTCTTAATAAAGGAAGTGCTGGATCCCAGGCTGGAGAAATAAGACAGCAGTCTAAGATGTAAACTTTCCAGGTTATATTAGGCAAAGTAGAGCTAAGCCACAAGGGTAGTAAGAGGGGATGAAGAGCAGCTGCCCAGAACTACAGTTGTCACAACAGAGGCTCAGAGCAGACTCGGACACTTGGGTTCCCAAGAGTCCAGTGGTGGTGGCCTGCTGGATGGCACTGCTAGCCCACCTCCAGCACACCAGCCCCTCGGCCTTACCTCCGACCACTTTCCATCCCACCTCCTACTCAGGTCATCCTGCCGGCCAAGTAAGCGCAGATTTCCGGGACTCCTCCCCGGGGGCTCGTCACTGTCCAGCGCCCTGCCCCTCCTGCACCAGCACCTCAGCCTGTCCTCCCGCCCTGTGGCTGAGCATGGGTGCGAAGTGACCAAGGGCTAAGGGCAGACCTTCAGGGTTACCTATTTGCCTTTCCAGGTCAGCGGCTTCGTCGGGCGTGGCTCTTGGAAGGACTCCCGGGTCACTGAAGCTGGTGCGAAGCAGGGTCCCCATCACGAAGAAGAACAGAATGCCACCGACCACGGGGATGGCAGGGGTGATTTTCACTGCTAGATACGGGCAGCTGCCAACAGGTTGGGAAGGCAGGAGGGGAGGGGAGAAAGAAAGGAAACACAATGTCAGTCATCAACAGTAAGCAGTCTGTATTTTCCAAGAAACTAAAGGCTTTTTTGGAGAAGCAAAATTGATTTCCATTAAAAATTCATCTCTACTAAGCATTTACATTTGAGGAGGTCTGCAATTCTCTCCTGTGGACAATTTAACCCTCCCTTCTCGGCTACAATAATCCAGGCCCTCTGCTTCCACCGTGCAACTCAGGAAAGACACTGGCAGAAAAATGAAAGTAATCCTGCTTGTACAATCAATGTAAGATGCACAGAGTTTGCACCCCTTGTGCTATAAACACAGTTCATGAATTAAGTGATTCTCCACCCATCCCTGGAATTGCATAACATAGGAAGACACTGGCTTTAAACTGTCTTCATTAGACCTGGCCTTTCCTCCCTGGGTCAGACAACTCAGGGCACAAAACACAGAGAACCACAAGTCATCCACAAAAGGCAAGAAACCAGGGGGAGGTTATAGCTCATTGGCAGAGTGCATGCTTAGCATGCACAAGGTCCTGGGTTCAATCCCCAGCACCTCCAGTTAAAAAAAGAAAAAAAGAAAGAAAGAAAGAAAGAAAAGAATAGAAATTTAAATTTTTTTTCTAAGGCAAGAAAAAATGTTTTCAATATTTTGGCTAGCCCAAAGAGGATAATGAGCTACTAAATAAACTTGCAGGCCAGTTTCCCAAGACGATGAAAAGGATTTTGGCAGCTGGAATATAATAATCTCATGCTCTTCCAGAAGGCATTTGAGCTCCCAACAGATGAACATGGCCGAACTCAGTTCTGTGAATCCCCTCCCTTCACTGTTGTGAACCGACATGCAGCAGGGGCTGCACTGAGTCACGGAAAGTAGCGCTTGGAACAGACTAAAGTCTATGCCGGCTGGACCTGGGGATCCAGGAACCAGAGCAGCTTTAAGCACCACACCCTGACCCACCATCACTGCCCCTTGACTCCGCAGAGGTGGTGAGAGGCAGAGTGAAAACTAGCTCGGTGCCTGGATCTGAGTGAAGGATGGTACCTGCAATGACCACGATCTATTGTCTATTGTGGTCTATTGTCACCACATTCAGTAACACCATGGGCATCGAGGACTACAACACAGAATCACGGAATGTAACATCCAGAGTGAAAGTGCCTGCTAGATGGCCTGCCTCATCAGGCAGCGCTCTTCCAGATACTTGAGGCAGAACAACGAGAGGGAGCTGAAGAAGAAAGGGTTGGAAAGCTCTGTGCAAGAGGGGAGCAGGGGGCTGAGTCCTGGGCATGTTGGGGACCAGCACCCCATTCCTCTTGGGTGCTTGCAGGGAGGTGGTAAAGTCTCTGATGGGATAGCAAGGGAAGGCTGGCAAGCATCCAGGTCTCAAGGACCACAGGCCATGATCCCCTTTCCTGAGGCCAGCATCAGGTGTGTGAGAGCATCTTGTCTTCAAGAGGCTGGTGACTCAGATCTATGGGACATGGTTACCATGAACTAAAGAACAAGGGCCTGTCCTGAATTCCCTGCTTTAAAGAAATCCAGAGACTTTCCAGTAACTTTAGGAAGGTGGAGGAAAAACCCTAAACATGACGAAGTAAGATTTCCTGCCGGGCAGGTAGACTGTGGTCTTCAAGACAATCACTGGATTTAGACAGACAAAAATATATGACATTTCTAACTTCTGTTTCATATTTCTCACACCAACTTCCCTGCAGAAACAGAGCAGAACAAACAACTAAAAACAACCCCACGTCCCACTTGGGCTGGATTGCCAGTTGTGACTTTTATTCACAGGATTCTTGGGAAACCATAAAAAACTGTTCATGGTCATTCCTGCATCAGTGTGACCCCGCCCAGACTCCCAGACACTTCAAAGCCTTTTTCAATATCCTCACAGATTCTCACAGGAAAGTGATTTCGGCGAAGAGAACAAGAAAACATTAGATAACTTGCTGTGGAAAAAAGGAATACAAGCGTGTCTAAGTTGAAGAAATCCCCGTTGTGAAAGCATTCACTTTAATTATGGAAAGGGCTCTTTTAGTCCAACGGATTTTGTTGCGTAAAAAAGAAATCATTGCTTTTCCTGGAGTGTTTTCAGACAAATGCTAACATAGTTAGCATCTCTTCTGTGTGCTTCCAGTTTTTGTAAAAAATTTGATTTTATGATTTGAGGTACTGGAAAGCTTCAAAATAGTTTCCTGCAATAGAGATCTACTAGTCATGACAATTAGAAAGAAAAATTTTAAAGATGGTGCCGCTCGGGGCGCCTCCCTCTTACGTGGGCCTTATAGCCTAACACAGAACTTGCATTTCAACTTGACACACAGGGAAAAGAATAGTCTTGTCAGGAAATGACCATCTTCCCTTTAGAGATTCAATATAAAGTGACAATCAAAATCCCATTTAATACCTCATTGAAATGTTCATACGGGGATGTGTCCCAGCTCTAGGACAGGGTGCAGTGCCCTGGGTCACAGAAACAGATACCTTTCAAGACATGTTTGGACCATGACTTGGAGCCTCTATGAATAGCTGATGTTAAGTATCAATTGCCACAAGTCTACTGATTAAAGCTCCAGCTGTGATTTCAATCTGAAGTTAATATCAAGGAACTCAAACTCCAGAAGAGCATTAAAAAGCATTTGTGTCATAAAATATGACATTATCTTTGTTATTCTTGTTGTCATATAAAAAGCAACCTTAAATTGTATGAAGCCTTGCAAACGTGCTGGGGTACCACAACCAGAAATAAACACAGTCCATCCTGAAGGCATAAAATTGATCCTGATACTAATAAATTTCAATTTTTTGTATATTAGCCTTAACATATTTTTTTAAGTCTAAAATCGACCTCTTTTTTCTTTTTAACAAAATGTTTAGGGAAATGATCAATTGTGCAGAAGAGAATTTTCCCAGAATTTAAATTCAGAATTCAACAGAAGAATGCCTGCTTGAATAAAGGCAGAGGATAAAACAGGCCAACTTTCTCCCACTTTCTCATTATTAATCAGTTTGAGTAAGAAACAATTGGTACAGCTATCAAGCAGCAGCACGAGTCACAGCTGGACGATGCGCCCTGGACTGACCAGTCGGTAGGATGTCATCCACCTCGGGGCATTAAGGATGGAATTTATTTAGCTCCATTTGGTTTCTCCAAGGATGGCTATTTCAGTGCTGTCGGAACCCTCCCGTGCAGGTAATTTTGTAGATCTGAGGATAAGGTGTATTTGTTTTTCCCTTTTGGGTCTGAAATGTACCTTGGCTGACCTCAAAGCTCAAAGCTGTAAAGGTTTGCCTTCCCACAGCAAACTGTCGTTAATGAGTAAGCCATATCCTCAATGGTTTCTTGTCCCAGGTGCGCTGTATGTGGGGCTGTGATCTTTAAGAGCTGCTCACTTCTCCAGGCTGATGGCTCTGAAGACCTCCCATTGCCTCCACCCGCCTCTCCCCACCTCCCACCGATATCCGCTGCCCTTGCTAATACTGGATATTCAAAATTAGAGACCAATGTCTTTAACCTAAGTTTTCTGTCCCCCAGCACATTCTCACTGCAGAGAAAATACACTGTGGTTTAAGTTGTTTGCACTTGAGTGTCGATTAATTTATTCAGACCTCAGCCAGGAAAGGAGGAAGAGGAAGAATCTAGTCAGCAGGTAAACGCCTACCACCTGCCTGCGTTCCTCTAACTGTAAAACTGGTTGTTGGCTGTGGAGGGATTTCACATGGATCTGAAACATTTTCGTTTTCCTTTTGAACCTGCTTCTGCCTCTCAGGCGGATCCTGACTTTTCTGGTCATGAGATGAAGGTAGCAGGAAGTCCTGCAGTCACTTTTGGTAGCAAAGAGTCTCATTAAGTAATTAAAAATGTGACAATCCCATTATTAGTGGAAATTTCTACCTTCGTTTTGTGCTAAACCTCATCCACCTCCTCCAAGTGCAGTTTCTGGCTCCTCTTTTTGGACGAGGTGGGTAGGGAGAGGGGATGCGAGGCACTGATTTGAAGAGCCCTGTGACAAGGCGGCTTTGGGCGCTCTGGGTCAACCAGATGTCTAAACCCATCCCTCCGGTGTCTGAGACCTTCAGAAGCCTCTGTGGGATTCCAAGTGCACTGCCACATGGGTACCCATTGTCCTCCTTCCCTCTTCTTGAGTAGAAAGAAGGCAACCTTCCACTTGCCCTAAGGCCCATCCTTCCATGTTGCTGTGCCCCCCATACCCTTCCTCGCAGGAACCTCAGGAGAACTGCACTGAATTCCTCCGCTCTCTGCTTCTTCCCTGGGGGACAGCAAAACAGCCGTCTCCACTCTCTGCCTGCCACAGGCCCCTCTCAGCCTGCCCTAACCAGGCTGCCAGCTCTCCAACACACGTCTCTGCTCAGAAGCCTGCAGTGACTCCCTTTCTCCTGCCAAATTAATTTCAAGCTCCTTTTCTGGCAACCATAGCCCCTCAAACCCAGTCTCCAGTCCTTTCTTCTCATCCCCGGTCACACTCCTCCTTTTACACATACAGGGACAGCTACCCTGACCTCCAGCCTTCCCAGACGGGTGCCTGTGACCCAGCTGTGGTGTCTGGAATGCCCGCATGCCCCATCTCAGCTTGTTACAGTCACCCAGCTTTCAAGTTCCCATAAAGACCTGGTGAAAAGATTTTCTTGGCTCCCCACCAAGCAGAAGTGCTGGCTTCTTTTCCTGAACCTCCTTAATATTGTTGTTTGCCCCTCTCGATGGTCCTTGTGGCTGTTAGGGGACCTGCCTCGTGAACCTCCCTGGACTGGAGGTCTCGGAGGGTGAGACCGGGCTCTGGTCAGCATGCGTCCTTCGCAGCCCCTGGCACGAGGCCTCGCACATGGCAGGTATTTGATAACATTTGTTGGATAACTGAATGAAGAGGATCAATTCACTGAATTTTACAGTAACACAGAAAAGAGGAGGAAAGTCAAATCAGCCATACTGTCAACATCAACAGTGTACCTTGT